ATACATGGTATCTCTTTTTTTTCTCTGGACTTTGTTACCCACTTAAATTGACATGGCTAGGCTGATATGATAGTTATCAAACTACAAAGTTCTTACAGCTACTGGACCTACTTGCTCTGCTGATACAAAGGATACCCCACCTGCGAACATGATACCCCACTTGCGAACATGATAGCTAAACAGATGTCCAATCTCCTATCCTTCACCTGCTACACACCCATATACAGGTGAAACTCGAATAATTAGAATATCGTGCAAAAGTAATTGCAGTAAGTGCTGCAAAAGGGGCCCAAAACCAAGTACCGAGTACATATGCATGCTTGTACTTTTGAGAGGTCTGATATTGTTCTATGTACAATACTTGTTTTATTGATTGCATGTAATAATCTACTTTTTTGAGGTTGTGGATTTGGGGTTCTTGGGGTTTTCATGAGCTGTAAGCCATAATCATCACAATTATGACAAATCACGGCTTGAATTATCTTGCTTTGCATGTAATGAGTCTATCTCATATATTAGTTTCACCTTTTAAGTTGCATTAGTGAAATAAATGAACTTTGCACGATATTCTAATTATTCGAGTTTCACCTGTATACTGTAGCTTCTCTCTTGATGCAAAACAAGTCCGACAGTGACTTTTTCTAAAGTGTCTCCCCCTGCCACCATAGAAAAATAGTTTTCTGTTAATGTCAAAAGACTTAATACTATGAAAAGGTCCCGAACCTTAAAGCAACGACATAAGCAAAAAATAGAGAAAAAAAATGGTTTTCTGCACAAATACCCAGAATGCCTAGACTATCAAAATCACAGATTCTCAATGGTATCTAATGAAACAAACATGACATCCAAAAACCAAAGGGGTTGCAATCCCATTTCCCAAGCATACACCTTTCAAGCTCAATGACTGATTGGCAGCTGGGGAAGGCCGATATTTGTTTCCCAAAGGCACCTTGCCACATCACCACATTAATCGAGCTGATAAGTTATCTATAAGCAACCATAAAAAGTCACATACAGCTGACACCCCTACCAAACTGACCAAAACATAGCAGGAACTCATAGAAGAACTGGGTAAAGAAACAAAACAATGCCTAATACTGAGTCAAATATTTTTCTATGAACTTAGCAATAAAACACTCAACTATGAACATAAAGGCCACCCAGGATAAACACAACAACATAACAAAGAAGGATTTTCTTTTTATAAATGGATGCTGAAAAGGAATTTGATAGGGTAGCCTGGGACTACTTGGCAGACATTCTCGTACGCCTCAAAGGAAACATGTGCAACAGAATTTCAGCCTAATCTCTACCTTATACGCTAGCATATTTGCCATACACCCCAGTACCAAGTGTTCCAGTACAAAAACGTCTTCCAGGGCTTTGGAAAAGAAAATTGCATAAAGTAGATGTATATATAAAAATGAACTGCGCTAATAAGCAAGCTCACAGCTACAAGGCACTGGAATGTACACCCACTGTGAGTGTGTATACGTGAAAAATAAATAACTAAATGTGCCGAGCTACAACAATGAGCAATACAAAAAAAACAATAAAAGAATCTGTGACTCAAACAAATGTCAGTGAATGAATAGTAAATGGATCAGATGTGAAGTCTATAAATGTTCATAACTCTGAAGATGTCTATATATAAACAGCAATAGTGATGAATATTTCTTGTTCCTCACCAAATGTACCACGTGCACCACACCACATATAGGGGTGCTCACCTTATTGATAGACCCTCAATAAAAGGTCAAATCAGGCAATTCCCTTCTTAACCAGGGGAGGGGGCCCTCAGCTCCAATCGCTCACAGATGTCATCCAATGATGTAATCAGACCAGCAGACAGATCTGTATATCATTTCTTTAGTAGGGAAATAATAACCTCCAATCTTTATCGAACTGTAGGCCTCCTCAGTATAGGACCTAGAACGTCAGATGCTTGTGATCCTTGATGAAGTCACGCTGGGCGTAATGTGCATAGGGCGGAGCATCTGACGCCACATTGATCTCTAAATTTGGCCATAAACTTTACAACCTTTGCAAGACCTTAGTCTTGCGATGATTGTAAAGTAATTTTAAAAAACGTACGATCTGCCCATCTTGGACAGGCAGATCGGGCTTCCGATGATCGCAATGCTGACACCGGGCCGTTCGGCATTTGTCTCCCGAGCATCATTCAAACCAGCCGAAAATCGTAAGATTTTCGGCTGGTTTTCTAGCATGCTCCTTAGACAAAAGACGTGCGACCTTACAGTAGAAACGGTCGCACGTCTTCATTCACACTGCACGAATCTCGTACGATCGTGGGATTTCGTGCAGTGTATGGGCACCTTATGACTGATGGCCGCAGTGATTTGAAACTCCTGCATACACTCCTTAGAGATATTCCATGCTGTGTTAAATAAATCATACTCTGTTTGTATGTACGCGCTATGGTGTATGCTTTCTCTTTTTCGATAACAATATCCTGGTATTGACATCCTATACTAAGGAAGCCTACAGTTCGATAAAGATTGGATAAGGTAAATTACCCCTTTCTCTCTGCATTGGTGGTCAGTGGCAGTGTTAATCTCCCCCCACCCACCCCCTTTACACACACGTTGGCAGTCAGTGAAGAATGTGAATAAACGCCCTTCCCCACCAACTCTGCATGCAATATACTGAGGTTGCAAGCTAGGGGTGGGAACAGGGGTTCTGGATGGTCGCTGGCAGTGTCAGCAGGCAGAGCTAGTGAGCTGCTGCTGTCTCTGTTATTGTTATTGGATCCTCTAGTGGCAGGCCCAGTGCACCACAATACAATCTGCATGTGGCACATGGGCTGTCTTGTTGGGCACCACGGCCCTAATATGTGCAGTCTGTGAGTGCAATTTGGGCCCCATTGCCCTTGAGGCCCTGTGCATCATACACACTGCACACAGAAGTGTTGGATAGCAGCAGTGCTTGTAGCTCTTCATGAGAGCTAAGATTTCACTCATTTCTTTTCAGTTCAAATGTAAATAATGAATCTTTTACAGTATATGTCCGTCTACAATTTTGTACTGCTTTTCAAAAGTCTAGAGTTTGTTGCCTTGTACAGTATGCTTGCAGCTTCTTTCAGCTTAATAACCAAGCTGACCTACTAAAACAAACATGTGATCTTTGCAGTCCCAGTGGAAGTTTGGAGCAGTTATACTTTCAGCTGCAGTCATAAAATTAACAACTCATGTCAACTGTTTCTCTTACAGCATCCGGTCTGGAAAGAGCAAGGACAGTGGTGTGCATCTGTTCGTCATCATTTTCCCTCCACTAAATTAGAAGCTGTATTAGGAGAAAAGCCACAAAAAGTTTCCTTTGGGTGCTAATACAAACAATTGCTTTTGTTTTTGCTTTTTATGGTTTGTGGATGTTGTAGATTATTAAAACACAAACCTACTGCAGTATGTAATTATTTTACAACTTTCAGCAACCATACATTAATCTCTTTAATAGATTTTACAGAGAATACATTTTCTTTCCACGTCTGTTGAAACGTTTGATGCTCTGATTCTCGGTTTTCTATATAAAGCATGTTTACATTTCATAGTTGACATATGGGTCACTCTGTAAATATATAGGTTTAGGTAACACATCTGTTCTCTGAAAGGGCTTGCACGTGCTCATATGAAGCAGACAGTGAATACACATGAATGCAGCACAAAGGATAACTCTCTACAACACCTATGTAGTTCAGGGGTCCAAAGCATATGATAAACACACGTGACTGGCAAAGTGTGCTTCCCTTAAGGCTGGGTTCACACCATTCTCCGGACCAGATATGGAACATAGTGCATTGCATTTCTGCTGTGATTTTGCCGCGATTGTAATTTTTATTTTTTAGCTTAAAATGTTACAGGTGCGTTCCAGTGCATTTCATGCGTTTTTGATGCGTTCCAGTGCATTCCAGACCAGACAAAATAGGACAAGCAGTATTTTTCTGGACTGGAACGGACTGCGCTGGTGGGAACAGAGGTCAAAAATAGCAGAGGGATACATTGGGATGCATTTTGGATCTGGAAACAGTCTGGTCTGGAGGTATTTTGGATGTGGGGTGAATGGGCCCTAAAGCATTAAGTTTTTTGATTGAAGACAGCGAAGTAATCACTGATCAAGAGATAAGGAATTCTGACATTCATTGGCTGCATGCTTGTTGCAGGCCTGCGACCAAACACTGAATCCATAAACAACCAGGTGACTAGCATTTTCAAATGGAGGTCAGGAATGGCAGCCCTCATATTTATCATCTTAGCACAGTATTTTGTATGCACGGAAGAACACAAAGTTGTTTAATTCTACGGTCCTGTGCTGCCAAAGAATTGTCATTGGCTTCATGTTACACTATAGCTTGTCTTTGTACTGTATGCCAGACCAACAATCTATAGGCACTCAGATGGTTTACTAATATGCCACCATTGTCAAACTTTTGTTTACAATATCTTACAGCAGAACTCCGGGGATTTTTTAAAATTAACCCTTGCAGTGGGGCTACCCCCACACTACAAGGGTTATGTGCTTGTTTTGGTCTATATTAAATAATAATAGCAAAATTATACTCATCTGACCCTCGGAGCCGGACAACGGCGGTATGACCTTTGGTGTCCTCACATTCTATATACTGTGTATAGAACGTAATAAATCACAGACCTTATACGGCTTCAGCGGAGGGGGATTAAGTAAAAAGAAGGGACCGGTCCGAGGATCAGTTGACTATAACCTTGTTATTTTCCTCTCTAAACCAAAAGGAGAACTTAACCCTTGCAGTGTGGGGTCAGCCCACAACTTAACCCTTGCAGTGTGGGCTTATAAAACTGCAAGGGCGTATAGAAAAATTTCACCAGAGTTCTTCCATAAACCTCAGTCCTCACACAGCATGTAACAGACTGTATCAATCATTGTCTGCTTATGTAAGGATCCGTTATTTCACCAGTGTAATCCATTTTATATATCACTAAGCAGAGTCAGGAAGTAGAATCACTTACTTATTTTGTTCAGGAAAATGGTTCAGCAGCATATGTAGAAAATCCTGCAAGACACAACATAAAATATTACTTGTCATCTTGGTCTAGAACAGGTTCAGTGAACTTAAAATACAAACTTAGCCTGCTCCTTAATGTTACAGGACATATAGATATACATATAAGAATCAAATAACAAAGCTTTCTTGTACACCTCCAAGAAAAATGACTGTTCCTAATGGAATCACGATTATTTGGAACAAAATACTGAAAAATATCACTTTGTATCATAGGGCAATGCCAGTGTCAGAGGACTAGCAATTAGGGATGTTCAGATACCAAGTACCGTGAGATACTTTTCCAGCTTCAAGACTGGACTAGAGAAAAATTCAAAAGTTAGGAGGCAGCTCTCATTTTTAAGGAGCATACGGAGCTCCTGGGTTTTGTACATCTCTGTTTTAATGTATGATTCGTTTTTTTAAATAAATATACACTGAGTGGCCAGATTATTATGACCACCCCATCAATACTTCGTTGGGCCACGAGATAACTCCACGAGATGACTTCGTTGGGCCGCCTCGTGACTCCACGAGATGACTTAGTTGGGCCGCCTCGTGACTCCACGAGATGTTGAAAGGTGATGCGAGGAATCTGACACTGCACTGTTGCCCTTCTCTTGTCTTGTACCAGTCTTGCCACTCTCCGTTCTTCCCTAACATTGACTAGTCGCTGGCGGCCACAATTCGCACGTTCAGACCCAGATTTTCGGCTGACAGTCCAGTCTTTAAACACTTTAACAACAGCTGCTCTTGAACATTTAACAAATTCTGCTGTTTTGCTGATACTTGCTCCATGGCTCCGAGCGCCAACAATCATCCCACGTTCAAAGGCTGTTAAATCGCGTTGTTTACCCATATCTTCAGAAAAAAATCACTTCTACTGTCGTGGTAAACAACCTGCTTCCCTATTTATAATGGTCTGGCCCTCTAGCAACTTCAGTGCAAAATTATAGCTAACTATATCTCATTTGCCTACAAAGGTCAGGTGGTCATAATAATCTGGCCACTCAGTGTATATAAGGTACCATTTTTTCAAGTACTGATACTTGTCCAAGTACTTACAGATACAAGTACTGATACATTTTTGATTATTGTCATGTGGCAGTTTTTCTAAAACAATACAGACTAATGATTTCAGGACAGTGATGGAGCACCGGGGCCAGTTCCCAGCTGTAACCCTGGTAGTTCTCGTGAAAATGCCAAGTATCGACACTGGTATCTGAACATCCCTACTAGCAACCAATAATGCAGCCCTGCTTACTCCAACATGACATAAGTCTTAATAACCTTTAGGTGTCTTCATTCCACAATGGTGGTATTTGTTGCCGCCATAGAGACATAATAGAAAAGTGTTACAAATAAGAACTTTGTGAATCTGTTGTATGCGTCGGTATTAACTATGGAACTGTCGCAAACCTTTTAGGAATTTTAAGAGTTCTAGATACAGCCATAATGCCAGAATTGTGTCACAAAGCCTTTATTGAATCGCCCTCATAGAATCATGGTAACAAAACCATCAACATCAGATTCACAGCAAACATTTCTACATTCTGTAGTTTGCAGAGGGGTACAACACTTTTCAGAGCTTGCAGTTTAAGCAGGTATGTTAGCCTCATAAGAGGTCTGAAAAACACAGGACAGCTCTATAAAGAGCACTCTTTCTTTTATTGAGGGATGTACACTTTTTAAAAAATACTGTATTAATGTAAAGACAATGACATATAATATACACATATCAACGGAGCTATTTATAAAAGCTTGGAGAGAAGAAAAAAGTAACAAAAGCAGAGGGTTTGTCTGCAATGACCAAATAGCTTTCATCTTTTATTCTCAGGGAAAGTTAAAGGAGAAGTGTTGAGAGAGTAAAAAATACTCTTTTTAATAGTTAGAGCCAGTGTGAGACACTGCAGCTGTCACACTCCAGCTCCATACTGAGAGCTGAAAGAACATGTAACTGCTGACCACTCAGTTCAAGGTCTTCTCCCTGCAGAGAGCATTGACTGTCAATCACCCCCTCCCCTCTCTATTCTTCTAGCACAGGGTGCAGGTACAGCTGGCTCTGGCTCTATAGGGGCAGAGTCAGCTGTCAGTCAGGCAGCAAGATGTCAGTTAGGCTGTTGGGATCCTTCCCAAGTGCAGCGTGGCTCTGGGATTTTGAGTCCCAGGAGTATATTAGTAAATGTACCATAAATGCGCCACACTCCTCATCTCAAGCTTCCTAACTTACACTTGTACTGTGGAGAAAGAGAAATTACATGTCTCACCTGGGCTTTTACTGAGAGTGGATTACTGAGAGCACTGGGTCTAACTCTGTTGTCTCCTAGACTGCATAGTAATACTAGGAAAGTGCAGAATAGGTAAGTTCCTACTGACATCTTGATAAAGAATAACCATGGACCAGGACTGAGAATGAGGAAGACATTCTGCTTTCCTTTATTGACTTCTGGAGTCACATGGGATAGGGGATTTGAAGGGCTGAACTAATATTATGCTGAGAAAAACAGTATTTGGCAGTTTGTGATCTATTCATCCAGTGATTACATGGAGTTCAGCAGAGAAAATGTCATAAAACACTCCTTGCACTAAATGCATTGAATTAAACATGTAGCTGCTCTCTACACTGTACTGTTGATCAGTGCATATGAAAACCGTTCAAGTATTTTTTCATATTTCTACTTTTCTGTTAACATTGTTAATACACCGTGGATGATTTTTTTTCTCAAGTCAAGACTGACGTGCTGTTTGAGCTTGTCTTTATACAGCAGCTATGCAGATTGGCTAATCCTTGGCACTGCTTTGAAAGTTGTACCTGACACTACTGAACCAAACATTGTGGGGCCTGTTTATACTGTGACCCTTGGGCATTGGGCACTGTTTGCGGCTTTTCCTAGACATTGAATATACCAGTTTATTAGCCGCAGAACTCTTTACAGGTCCAAGACCATGACACAGCCTCTAGTATGACCCTGAAAACTTTATTGGTGAGTATGTCTTTGCAATAGGCAAATGTTCCCAGTATGTGTACTATGGGCATTATTGTGCATTCTGGACACAGCAACTGGGTTGACCCAGTCTCTAACCTCTCTCATTTGTGGTAAGTTGTATTATAACATACAGAAAAGTCTCCAAGTTCAGAGCAATGGCAAAGCCTCTGGTATGACCCAGACTCTGATCACTCATTGTGGTAAGTCCCTGAATTCCACTCACAAATAATAGAGCTGTATCACAGTCCTTAATGTGTCCCAGTCTCTGTTTTCTCACACTGTCACGAACCCATGGTTGTGATGCAGACATTATGTTCTGGTTATGGGATACTAATTATGTGGCTGTTCCCCATTCTATGGGGCAGCACAGCCCTTAATGAGTGTAGGCATTATAACTCACTTCAGAGTGATCTTACAGGCGGTATTTATTACCATTATGAGTATCTTCTCATACTTGTATCTGCAGGATGACATTTTCAGTCCCTTGTGTACCATGTTCAATAATAATCATGCTCTCCCCATTTTTTGCACATTGGCACTGTCTAAACTGGTCTCCACTCAGTCTCTCTGAGATATATGTTGAGGTTTACATACTGTATTATGTTATGTTGCTCCTCCTCTAACTGGATTCTGCCTCTTGGTGTGTCAGGGCTTGTGTACTTAACTGCAGACAGGCTAGTTTTCAGTTTTTATGCTACGATACAGCTTTTTAGCTTGTTCAGCATCTTGCTATATCTCTTTTTCTCCTGTGCATGCAGTCAGGCTGCAGTTATTTACCTGCCTCTAACTTTATTTAACAACTTCTAACTTTAAGAATGCCTGCCCTTTTTTTCTCTAAAGTAACAGTTCAGTCTAGGGGAACTAGGGGCAGTGTTGCACATGCACACTCTGTGTTCCCTTGGGCCTTTAGGAAGTCGCCTCCTACTGCTCACCTTCAGAACAGGATCGATGTCCGTTCTGGTCTCTGGGCTTCAAGAAAAAGATTCTACAGTAAGTAGAAAAAAAATATTCTTACTGTAATCATAAATCTGTGCATTTCACACTATACTCTAACTACCTTCAGGTGGATACCATTTTTTTATCCTCTCATTTTTCCCCACCCCTTTTTATAGGGGGGCTGGTCATCTTTTTCCCCTCGCCCTCATTAGAGATCTAGGGTAGTACTTGAAAGTCATCTTCCACAGTTTTTTGTTCGTTTTTTTTGTCATGGATCTCTACTCCTTGAACTCGAGGGTCAGAGATTTACTTTTGAGCCTCTCAACTCCATATCAGTTCCTTACTTGAACATGTCTAGTTTGTCCAAGTCTCCTTTCCCTGAAGTTAATAGTTACATACCTAGGGCTTTTGTCTTTATATTCCAACACTTTTTATTGGTTTTGGACATACTGTATATTTTTGCCTACTTGGTCTAGTTCAACTTCTTTCATGTGTTGTATTGTTCCAGCCAACTTTTACTGGACTGTTACTTGGTCCTTCATTTTACTGTTTTAGGATCACACCCTTTTTGTATAGATTCTACTCTCAGATGGTGTTCTGTCCTGGTCTGTAGCTCAAAGTTCTGCCTCACAGCTCTCTTCTTGCCGCTCTCTTCTGATGAGCCTTCTTTTATATAGCCTTTCTTAGAGGCAGTGATTTCATATATTTAGATCTCTCAGTGGATTTTACCCACCTCCTTGGTTAGACTGCTTTTGGATGCCCCAATTGTCTATCATTTTCCATAGAGGTGCACCGAAATGGATATTTTAAAACCGAAACGAAACCGAAATAAAAAAAATTGTCAGGCCGAAACCGAAAATGTTTTTAGGATTGACAGCAGACAGTGGGCGGGTCCAATAGCCAACCTGCGATTGGCTATTGAATTTTTAAATAGCCAATAGCAGGTTTAGTATTGTTTTCAGTCACTGCATTACGATCTTACCTCCCTTAAATGGTATACGGGGAAGCGGAGCGAGCAGAGGCAGCGGAGCGGAGCGACCAGCGGGAGATGGTGAGGTGTGATTGGGGGGGTGTTGGGAATGGGGTGAT